ATGGACCACGCGAAGCAGACGCTCTTCAAGCAGCTGGGCCTCCACGCAAAGCTGAGGACTGCGCACAAGACGATGATCGAGAAGAAGGCCGAGTGCGTGAAGGCGCTGAGAGACTACAAGATCGGGCCTGGGTACTGGGCCGAGGAGCTGCAGGAGTTCGACGACACCATCGCGATCGGCAACGTGACGCTGAGCGTGGCATCGCTCGCCCAGGCCCTGAAGGACCAGAACGCCTCCGCCGAGGTGAAGAAGATGAACGTGCAGAAGGCTGTGGACACGATGCAGGCGCGGGCGGTGGCGGTGACGAAGCTGCCAGCGGGCCTCTGGTCGGAGGCGCAGCGGGTTCTCTCGTCGTGAGCGCGCTGCAGGCGCCTGGACCGCCGCCCCCGCGCGGCGGCTCTCCAGGGAGGAGGGGGAGGAGCAGGGGGACTGCGGGGAAAACGATGCGGATGAGGAGGATGAGGAGGAGGGCGATGCAGCACAGGCGCAGTCGACACGATCAGTGGAATCGCCCCTCCAGATCCTGCGGTGGAGGTTGCCACGAAAAACGGCCGTGGGGGGTGGGGGCTTTACCTATCCTTCTCTCTCCTCCTCCTCCTTCCCCTCTCGTCCCCTCTCCTCCCCCTCCCTTCCTTCCTCCCTCCCTGTTCCCTCCCCCCTCTCCTCCCCCTCCTTTCCCTCCTCCTTCTCATCATCGTCATCTTTTTTGCTTGATGCCGATGCGGATTGCATCGCAGTGGACGGGTGCAGTCGCCCTCTAGCGCGTTGCCTTGCACGCGACACCACCAGGGCTTAGAGCCCAAGAGGGGCCATCAAGGATTTTTCAGCCCTCGGCTGAAAAAAAAACAGCCGATGACCTTCGGCGAGCCCCCCGAGGGCCTCCATCACCCTCGCCTCGACCGCGGGGCAAGGCCATCAAAACTGATGGCCCTTCCGAGGCATCAAACCCCATCAACATGTGTCCTGTTATGTAGACAGGAAATGGAAGTCTCAAGTGAAGGGTATGCGGTCACGATGTTTCGGGGGTACACATGGGAGGAGGGAGGGAGAGGGGGAGGAGGAAGGAAGTAAGGAACGCGGGGCGCTGTCTCTTCGAAACTAGGACACGACACCACAGGATGGTTGGGAAAACTGTGAGGGACAACTGCAGCAGAAAGAACAGGCGCAGCAGCAAGGCATCCACTACAACTGTTCTCCCTGGAGGCCCTCTTGGGGGTCCTGTTGGAGCCCTTCTAGAGCCTCTTGGGGGCCTCTTCGGGGCCTCTCTTCGGGATCCTGCGGGTTCTGATGAGTATCTTCGGGAATTAGGCCCAAAAAAGGCCCGTTGTGGAGCCTTCTTTTGTCTGCGGAATTCGTCAAGGCCACCTGCACAGTCGCGTAAGATCGATTACATGTTTTATATCTCTTCGCTGACTTTGTCTGGTTCGTCAGCCACGAAGAAATTCGAATGTGGGTCTGACCATCTCGCCGTTCACGCATGCTTCTTTGTGCCTTCTGCAGGCAGGCGCCAGCAAGCGGACAAAGAGTTCGTCGACGAAATGGGTGGGCTCTCCGACCTACGAGAAAGAATTGGAGCCTCTCTTGGACGACATTGGGGAGTTATCTTGGCGCGAACTCCAAGACACCGTGAGAGCAGCCGCGCGCGTTTCCGGTGCGATTGGGGCCCAATTTCACGACCGACAATGGGACACAAGTAGCTCAAAGACTTGAGGAAACGACGGACATATTGCACAGAGCGCGAGGGGCGTGCTTCCTTGTCGAAGGAAATCACCAAGAAGACGAGGAAAACTTTGCGACGCTGGCAGACACAGCGGCTGGAAGAACAGCTCACAAAATCTCGGGACCTCCACCGACTTCACACTTTAGCTGTTGAGCCCAGGCCACGCGAGACGTCGGCCAAGCCGAAGCCAGAAGATTTTGCAAGGATGTTTGAGAAGCTGTAAGCTTCAGACCAGACGCCAGCAAACAGGGGGAACGTGACGCTATTGAGATATGTTGATCCTTTTTGTTCTGGACGAAGTAGTCAACGCATTGAAGCCTCTCAAAGGGTAAATGAGATGACAGGCGCGGGGTGCTTCTGAAGATGCTGGCGCAAAGTGGCGACGCCATCAAGCACGAATTGTTACGGAAGTACAACGATGTGCTACAGGGCGGTGGTTTCCCTGGCGGCTTGAACGAACATATTTATCTTTGTGATGTTACCGAAGAGTGCAGACTGGAGGGATGCGCACAATTGGCGGCCGGTTGCCATCCTCGATTTCGTTTATAAAGTTTTCGCCAAGATGATTCACAAACGCCTTATTCCTTATCTGGACCCGCAAATCTCGGATGAAGAGATGGGTTTCGGGACAGCTTGCGGAGTCGCCGAGTCTTTGATGACCCTCGAATGCATGGTCGGGGGGGCATCCCTGTAGTGGAATCTTCCTCTTTGGGCGTTAAGCCCGGACCTTCGCAAGGCCTTCGACAAGCTCGACTCGCTGACAGAGCTTGGGTGGTTGCCAGACAAGTAGATGGTGCTGTTGAAATGCAAATACTCGGATCAGGTGGGCATTGTCGACGGCACTTCGATTTTGATCCTCCGTGGAGTTAGGCCAGGTAACATATTAAGCCCGCTTTTGCTCAACACAACAGCCGAAGTCGTTATGTGCCGGTGGGAGATGTGCTTGAGTGCTGAGCATGGTTTCCATTTCCTGGCGACGCACCTGACAGGCTGACGAACGTCCGTTTCGCGGATGATCTCGTGCTCTTTGCTCGCGGCTGACAGGGTCGAGAAGATGACCGTGCTGCTTGTTGGGGAATTCGCAAAAGCTGGCATTGTGGCAAATGGATCGAAAACGAAGCTTCTGACGACGGATGCCGCAGTACCCCCTGAGGCAATACCCCTGCTGGTAGACATCGCGGGCATGTTCGTGGAAGTCATCAAGGCAAATTCTAGCTGGACATAGATTAGAACGTCTTTGCCCGGAGATCTGACGTCGCGAGGGTAGAGGAATCTTGATCATCGTCTGTCGTGCGCATGGATGCGTTTCCATGACCTGCACCACTCCCTGCTCAACCATAAGATTCCTGTCAAATTGCGCCTAAGTTTGTTCGGCGCCGTCGTCAACCCAACAATCTTTGACAGTCTTTCAACAACTCCGCTTACAGAATCGCAGTTGGAGAGACTCGATGGAGTACAGCGGAAACTGATGAGACGCAGTGTGGGCTGGGTAAGCCACGACAAAGAGGTCTGGCATGCCAAAGGGCATCGCACGAAAAAAAACCTGAGTTCTGCGTAGGACACCAACTGGCGTGGCGGTCTGGGGCCAGGCGCGCGGCAAGCAGAGGCGAAGACGGATCGAGAGAGTCGCAAATCACACGGCAAGCATTGTCTGTCGCGTGTATCATGGGCCGATTCGGCCAACTGTGCCTGGTCAAGTGGCCTGCAGGAGGCCTGGCCGTCCAGCGTGCCCGTGGACGGACTGCGCCTGAGTGATGGCATTTGCGCGCGCATGGTGTCGTCTGTTGTTGTGTTGTGTTGTATTGTGCGTGATGTGCTGTTGTTCGTGTTGCGCTGTGCTGTGTTGTGGTGTGGTGCGGGCGTTCCGTGTGTTTCAAGAAGCCTGTGCATGCTGCTCCCAATCACTGCTTGCACTGAAGGGGACATAGCGGAGATTGAAAGATTTGGCGACAATTCCAGGCCGATTTCGGTGGGCGGCCGGGTTTCAAGGTTCCCCGTTCCGGGTTCGCGGGTTCCCGGTTCTGGGTTCCGGGCCGATTTGGGTCGGCGAGGTTTTCAGGTTCCCGGGTTCCTGGTCGATCTTCGTATCGATCGGTATCAGCATCGATCTCACTGCCCACCTCTCTATGGATCTCACCATCGATTTCACCATCAATCTCGCGATCGATCTCACAAGCGATCTCACTATACATCGCACGAACGATCTCACGATCGATCTCATTGAATCGGCATGACTCTTGGGCTCACGATCGACCTTACAATCGTACCCAAGTTGCCGTGCGGGATCTGCTCTGCTGCTCTACATGCACAGTCCACTAACTGCGTCAGGCATTCAATCAATAGTAAATTATGCTAACGGGGTTCCCACATAATGAAGTTGAGGACTTCGTGGGGTCAATGAGACAAAATCATATCAATATTAATGGAAGGGCCATCGCAAACGTACGTGCGAAAGAAACGGCAGACGAAGGCAAGGAGGGAGAGCAGCAGGGAGGAAGACGACGGCTGTTGAGGAAGCACGTTCGTCCCTGGAGGAGTAGGGGGGGCACGAAACCGGATAAATCACATGGTTTGCAAATACCCTCCTCGCTCATGCGGGGCCTCCCTTGAGGAGTGGGAGGGTCACGAAACGTGAAAAAAACATAAGGCTTGCGAATACCCTCCTCGCTCAGGCGGGGCCTCCCTAGAGGAGTGGGGGGGGGCACGACACCTGATAAAGTATTCACTGCGTGGAGCTCACTATATGTGCATCTCTTTGCATTGGCATTTCCGCCGTGAATGTCTAGGCACAGGGAACTTCGATTATGAACGAGCTTGGATATTGACAGCCTGGGAGAGAGTCTAACTTTGAATGACCTTGAGTGTGTTAAGCCCCAGTAGTGCGAGTGAGTCTATGCGCGTGAGCCTGCGCATGGCTAAGTTTAGGATGAGAGTATCTGCACGTCAGTGGCCTGAGCAAGACTGAGCGTGACTGAATCCTCCTGGGGTCTCTTGGGGCGTTCTGGGGCTTCCTCAAGTCTCCTGGGACTCCTGGGGCCTCCTGGGGCCTCTTGCGGCCTTTCTGGGGCTTCCTGGGGCCTCTTGGAACTCCTGGGGCCACCAGGGGACTCTTGGGGACTCCTGGGGCCTCCTGGGACATTTGTTAGTGTTTTTTCTTTCTGACCTCGCGCCCGCTGTCCGCAAAGCAAGGAAGAGACGCGCGAACGAGGAAGACAAAAGGGCAGATACAACGAGAGGAAGAAAGCGCGTCCGCGTGAAAATGGTGGGCTGAAAATAGTTGATGTCTGACGCCAAGCACACGTTCATCCCCCTCCTCCTCCTCCCCCTCCTCCTCCTCCTCCTCCTCCAACTCCTCCTCCTCCTCCTCACGGTTGAAATCGGCCTGGCTGCCCCGGCGTCTGGTGATGTTCCAGGGGGGCCGCCCGCCCGCGCCTGCGCGGGGCCCGCCGTGGCTTCCTGCCGGGAGATTCGAGGGAGCGGGAAGGACGGCCCGCGGCAGCGGCGCCCTCGGGGCCTCCGCCCGCCACCCGCGCCGCCGAGTGTTTCGAGGGAGCGCCGAGTGTTGTAGAGGCCTCCGACATGGGGTCCGAGTAGTTGTGGTCGGAAGATCTCGCCGCATCGCCGATACATCGGCGATGCATTGCCGATGTATCGGCGATGCATCGGCGATGCACTGGCGACGTCGGCGATGCATGGGCGACGTCGCCGTGGGAAACACGGGCTCCACATCGAGCCGCATCGCCGATCGCCGATGCATCGGCGATGCGGCGCGATCCTCCGACCCACCTACTCGGATCCCATCTAGGAGGCTAGATATTGGGAAAAGGGAGGCTGTGAGTGGCCATGGCGTCGGGCGCTGGCGACGTCAGGGTGCACTGCCATCTGGCAAAGCGGCGGTCACGCGAAGTGCATCGGACAAAAATTGCGAGACGCCCCGGTGACCATATAAAAACGATGCACTTACGCCGCAGTTGCACAAACTCAGCGCCAAACAAAGCGCCGGTCACGCGAAGTGCCTCGGACAAAAATTGCGAGACGCCCCGGTGACCATATTTAAACGATGCAAGTGCGCCGCAGGTGCGCAAACTCAGCGCCAACCATCCAGCGTACCTGTAATGTGATAGAACACTTGTCCTGGTCGCAAGACCGACCGGACGCCAGTGAGATCCATCGCCAAGACGATGAGCCTGGGCCTTGCTGCCTGATGTCTGTCTTACATCACGCCGGCCTGCGTCCGTCCAACGGCAGTGAATTCTTCACGTTTCCCGTATCCCCACATGCCCAGTCAGAAGCCCTGCCCATGAGATCTGACGGAGATCTCTGGGAGCAAGGGGATGGCTTTGGAAGGCCTCTTCGGGCCATCCTTGGGGGCCGCGTGGGGGCGAAAGGAAGAGGATGAAGGGGAGGGTTCCGAGGGTTCCGATGACGACGAGGGGCTCCGAGAACGAGGCACCAAGCCAAAACGAAAATCATAGGCTCCAGTGCGAAATCAGCTGCGAGGCGAGATGGGAACGGGTGTGTGAAACCCGTTTCCAACTTTCTCGCCTGACGGGCCCTTCCCCTGGATAAGTACTTCCTCTCAAATTGCCCCGGAAAACCCAAGGGAGGTCTGCCCAAACAAGGTCTGGCTATCACATACGCTCTACTGACACACCGAGCAGCGCAATCTACGCACCAAACCATCGGACCCGTTTTCCAGAGACGGTGCGACTCATGAGCCACTTGGACCCCCTTTTCACGGGGTCTCCCACAGCTCAAATCCACGAGAACGCACCGGCGAGCACGGCTCTCCGCACCTCGCGCATATCCATCTACCCTGAACATACGCACTGTGCGGCCGTTGCCATCACTCAACGATAGACCAATAGGCCTCTCAGCGAACCCGTTCCTTGTGACATCCGCCCATTTCCCTCTCGAACAACGGCGCAGGATGTACGGCACAGTTTTCAGTGTCAGCGCTGCCGCATGCTCGCGCATTGGACGAGTTCGTTCTTGAGGTACGCCTCGACGATGCGTGGCGGTTCTACACGTCGCATAGAAGTCCACCTGCTTGTTGCCGTGCCAGTAGGCCAGAAGGGGATCTACATATCCACAGCTTGCGTCTGAAACAGATGCGACGGTACCCAGTCAACCTCGATCTCATCCGCCGCGATGTCCTCGACTGCTCTCCAGAATTGCACCCGCAGCTCCGCATACTGGTGATCGGGGCGTGTGCCATCGGGGAATCCAATCTGCCAGCCGATGTAGAGCTCCTGGAAGTCCGTGATGAGGCGCAGCTGTGCTTGAGACTTGCGAAGAGCTGCTTGCCTCGCTGCATGCAGCTCTGCTGCCCCAGATGTCTGCCGCGAGAACGGGACAGGTCCTGAGGCTGCTGCAATAACGCTACCCCGCTACATCCATCATACAGAAAGCCCAACCACCTCGAGCTTTCATCTCGAAGCGTGGAAATATGCAGCTGCCGTCGATACAGACACCTCCACTGATAAGACCAGACACTGTACACAGATGCCATCGAACGATGTGGTGCTCCACTGCGTCAGGTAACTGGAAAGGAGGATCAGGCAATATAATTTTGCACAACATCATCGTGCACGGGCGGTCTTGCCTATATTCAGTGCGTCCCCACCGCATGAGCTTCTTTTCGTACCCGCTCCAGTCCTGACGCACAGTGAGATGGCCATCGCAGCAGAAGCATCGATGCAAATCTGTGAAGGAGCGTGCTCTACCGCTGCTGGCAGAAAACCGGGGGGGTCACTACCGGTTCGAACCCCTCCCCCCCCCCCCCCTCCGGAAAACCGGGGGGGTCACTACCGGTTCGAACCCCTCCCCGGTTCGAACCCCTCCCCCCCCCCCCCTCGGAAACCGAGGGGGGTCACGATCGGTTCGAACCCCCCCCCTCCTCGAAAACCGAGTGGGGGTGCGGACAGTGGTGGGGACGGTGTTGGTGGGGACAGTGGTGAGGGGATAGCGGGGCAGTGGTGGGGACAGTGGGATAGTGGGACAGTGGTGGGGACGGTAGTGGTGGGGACAGTGGTGGGGACAATGGTGGGAACAGGGGGGGACAGTGGACAGTGGTGGTGACGGTGGTGGTGGGGACAGTGGTGTGGGGACAATGGGAATGAGGTGGAAACAGTGGGACAGTGGAGGGTACAATGGTGGTGGGGACAGTGGTGAAGGCGGTGGCGAGGACGGCGGTGGGACAATGGGACAGAGGTACAGTGGGGACAGTGGTGGGGACAGTGGGGACAGTGGTGGGAACAGTGGGACAGCTCAGTGGGACAGCGGAGGAGTCAGTGGGACAGTGGGGACAGTGGGGATAGTCGGGCAGTGGTTGGGGCCGTGGAGACAGTGGGGAGAGTGGAACCGTGGTGGGAACAGTTCTGGGGACAGCGGGGACAGTGCGACAGTGGTGGGGGCACTGGTGGGGACAGTAGGGGCGGTGGTGGAACCAGCGGGGACAGCGGTGGTGAGGACAGTGGTGCTGGGAACACCAGTGGGGGATGTGATGCGGACGGTGGTGGGGACCGGGAGTCGTTTGCTGGCGGTGAGTAGCGGGGGGGGGGGGTTCGAACCGGTAGTGACCCCCCCCCGGTTTTTCGGATCCGGAGAAGGGGGGGGGGGGGGGAGGGGTTCGAACCGGTAGTGACCCCCCCGGTTTTCGAGCGGGAGGGGGGGGGGGGGGGGGGGGAAGGGGTTAGGGGAGGGGGGGGTTTTGCCGGGGAGAGGGGGGGGGGGGGAGGGGTTCCAGCAGAGGGGGGGGGGGGGGGGTTCGGAGGGGGGGGGGGGGGGGCGAACCCCGGGTTCCGGAGGAATAAGTTGGCAATTTTCAACAGTAAAGCGGCGGTGGATCACGCTCTCTCAAATCTGTACCACCTTCCACTCCACACAGAGCACAGATAGTAGGCTCCGTCTCCAGCACCGCATGTAGCCTCACTTGGTTGAGAAAAACCTCCAGCCAGCCACGTGCGTAGTAGACCTGCCCCCTTCAAATCTGCCTGCTTCCGTGGATTAGCGATTAACTCCAGGGCTGGCTCGAGAATAGGCGGCCCCGCAAGCCCTGCCGTGCCGCGGCTGCCTGATACTGCCTCCAGAAGTCGCCTTTTTGTGGATATGTTGGTCAGCCTCTTGAGCGCGCCGACGCCTATATCATCCAAATGCACTCTCGGGCCGCGCCCCGTAAACAAACGGTTCCACCTTTCAGGTACTGCCCCCGCTGTTCCCTGCACTGGCTGCCACGACCGTGCGTGTTCTCTGCGCGCGCACGAAAGCCAAAGCCACCGCCGTGGGCTTTACCCATTGCTCCCACTTCGCCACGAGCCAGAACACCAGTGGGTACTCGTCCGCCATGTAGGCAGCGTCTGCCTTAGGACAACGCGAAAGTAGAAACTCCATCGTCCTACATCTGCCCCTCGCCGAACCACGCAGCGCATGGCCAGATAGGGCTTTGACCTTTTGCAGCCGGGCGTCGCCAATGTCCTGCGCCGTGGCTGCGTGCCCGATCGATGCCAGGCCTCCTGAACGACAGAGCTTTCCCATCTGTCTGCCGCCTTGGGCCAACCTGCGGAATCGTACTACTCCACGCCCGATAGCTGTCACTCGACTGCGATGAGAGGGTATCCTCGCCCCACCTCCGATACGCCGATCGTGTCCAAGTTGCCGAACGACTCTTGCACGTCGTAAAGCCGAATCACACAGTGTGATTTCAACTTCGTTTGCCATTCTCGGCGTCGTCGCAATTACATGACCTTTGTTCAGGCTCAGCTCCAGCTCCAACTTCGCCAGCAACCCGCGCATCAACCTGACCGCCGCTATGATAATCCGTGCTGCCTCCATCTCCGTTCCCGGGGCCGGCAAGCTACCATCCCCCACGACAACGCTGATCGTTCGAGAGGGCCGCAGCGCGTAGACCTGGTCGCACGCCCCCCACGCGAACGAAATCATCATGGTGGTCGCGTCTGAACACTCAACAATGGCCCCTTGGTTAGTGCGAGTGAATACGGAGGCAACCTTTCCAAACTTGAGGCTCCTCCTCCCTGCGTAAGTATTGGTGAGCATGGCGGGCCTGCTTCTTGGTCACGTGTGCCTGCAACCAATTGCCCACAAGGTAGCATGCACAATATTCTCGAAGCCTTTTTCACATCCAACATAATCGTAACAGAGCCCCGCATGGGAGCTTGGCCTGCCTCGGCCAAGACAGACTGAGTCACGACAGCCCTCTCCGACTTCTTGCCAGCGAAAGCGACGTGATATGGTCGCTCATGTTCTCGAGGCCATCCGCGGTGAACATGGCGTCGGCATCGATTGTATACTCGCAGTGCGTCCGACAAACCAATCAGTCTGTGTCCCCCTTCAGGCTTTGGGAGACGTGGCAAGACCGCATTCGTCACCTGAGCGGGTACTTGCACCATCCTCTCTGCTATCTCCGTAGCCCCGCCAAAAACCTTGAGGCAGTCATCTGGAAGCAGCGCCATGTTTTTGGGCCCCAGGCTGTCAATGCCAGAGGCCGTCTTGTGCTTGAAGGGCAGCGCAACTTTCCTTATCTGCTCGGCATCTAGCGGTGCCAGTATCTCCTAATCTTCGACCTCCTGCGTGGACGGACCCGCGCCAATCGAGTCTGCGACAGGATCATGATTCCAGACCTGGGGCCACATCTGAAGGTCCGAATCGAGCGTCGTCGTGCGGGACCTGATGCCCGCAACGGGGTGTACCTCAGCTTGTGTCCACCTTGCCGGTAGCTTGCTCCATTGGTGTGGCTTGGCGTCCTCCTGTTCAATGACGTTGCAAGTGCCTGTCGCCACTCTCGAACGCGTTGATTTGAATGGTGATATTCAACCTCGGTGCTTCTTGCGCTGCAAACCAAATGCACTCCCGAATCCAATCATCTTCCCAACACCACTCGTGCTCAATTCTATACCAAAGTACAAACGAAGAGCTTCCAATGCTGCTGCTCTTCCGCTTTAACTTCATCAGTGCGCGCATGCACTGCGTGACAAATTGCGAATCCAAATCCAAATCTCCCTTGAGAGCGTGAATAATGTCCTGGGTGACCATGGGTGTCCTCCTCCAGCTCCTCGAGATTGGATCGCCCTCCGCTCCTCGACCTGGTGCGTTGCTTGCCGAGACTGCCAAATGGAAAATCGGGCCACCTGGCTCTCCGCGCCCAGCTGCGGCCCCTCATTTGTGATCCTCAAGATGAGATGTGTCAGCTAACTCATGCTCGGCCAGCTGCATCCACGCTGCGTACCACCAGTCTAGATCTCGCGCACTTCTCCCACGCTCGCACTCCATATTCACTTGCGAGTGCGAAGGTGGCGCCCCCAGGGCACCGAGAGGGCAATCCTTGGGGAACTTCCTCTGCGTGGCGATCTGCTGCTCCATCGCTGCTCCAGGTCCT